ACAGACAACTAGACAACTACTTATACAGACACCTAGACAGCCTCCTAAACAGACACCTGGACAGACACCTGGATAGACACCTACACAGCCTCCCAGACAGACATAAATAAACCTTTCCCATCAGAGACTGGCTATGGGATGCATGCTCCTCCCCCTGCCTGGGGCCTGGGCTCTGTCTCTCTCAGGAGTCTGGGCTCTGGTTACCTTGGGTGCCGTGACGAAGTGATCCCACCTCTGCCCCATGGACTTGTCCTTGTTAATCTTCTTTATTGTGCTCTTGCTGCCGCCCGGGTCCCTGCGTGACAAACAGCTTAATGAGTTCTCAGTTTGCAGAGTCTTGGTTTCTTACAAGGTCCCCTCCTTACCTTTTCCCTGAAGAAATGTCCACTCAGGCTGACTAGCGGCTGGTCTCTGGTACGAGTTTCTCCCTCTCCTACCTTTGGAGTGTGGAGGAGTGCAGTTCTCTATAGAGGGGTCTTTTGAGGGGAACAGACTGAAGGCCGAGAAAGACCCACTTCCTGGGTGAGGGCCGAGGGAGACAGGATATATTTGCACGTATTCTGTATCTGCTTGTGTTCTGAACTTCAACTTTATGGAGTCCAGGGTGTGAATGCAGTTATGTCAGGGGTGGACCAAAAGGTGTGCTTGTTTCTGGCCATGCCTTGTGTGTTGTTCACGGGTAGCAATGTCAGGAGCACTCCTGAGCATGGCAGAGCACAGCATGGCTGGGCGGGGACGGGGAGGGTGGACGAGGATGAATCCCCTGGTGTGATGGTTACTGATAAGATGTTATCTGAGATGCTCTGTGTCAGATGCTTCCGGGTGATCATGGAATCATCTCCATCACTATCACACAAACCAGATTCACTATCACCCCCTCTGCAGCCACGGAGAGGACCAGACGGGCGCAGGGGTCCCTGCCCCAGGGCTCTGCACCTCTCTCATACTGTGATCCTGAGTTATTGTACTGCTCTCCTCCTCCCTGTGAATATGTTTCAGGCCTTACAACACCATGCCCTTCCCAGGTGGGGACTTTCTGGATAAGAGACTAAAGCCCCAAAGGGCTCTGTGGGTGATTGTACCCTTACAGATGTGTCACCAAGTTTGCTACAGTGGCATTTTTCAGTGGGATATGGTGCATGCGCCATGTATAATTATAACCCTTCCAGTGGGTTCAGGGAAGACTCTTACAGGGAGACACATGAGCACGCCTTGGAATATACGATGTGGACATTTATACTTAGTGAAAGAAAGAGAGACTCAAAAATTGGGACTCCATGTCAGGTTTCAGTTTGGTTCATTTTGGTTTCGGGTCTGGCTTTATGGCCAAGTGAGGTATGAAAAAGCTGAGTTTTTGGAGTCTTTAGATTTCGAATTTAACGGTTATGGGACCTTGGGCCTTCATTGGTTCACAAGTGGGGAATCTCACTGTGTGATCTAACTACCTGTACAGTCAATCAACTGGCTTATCAAATTTTCCATCCCCCTATTCTTTATCGCCTATCTTATCTATCCATCTACTTAGGGTATGTCTACCTGTCTTTCCACCCATCTACCCATCCATCCAGCCACCCATCCATCCACCAATCCATCCATCCATCCATCCATCCACCCATCCACCCATCCATCCACTCATCCACTCATCCATCCACCCATCCATCCATCCATCCATCCACCCATCCATCCACCCATCCATCCACCCATCCATCCATCCATCCATCCACCCATCCATCCACCCATCCATCCACTCATCCATCCATCCACCCATCCATCCACCCATCCATCCACCCAT